AATTATATTATAAAAATCACAGTTTTTTTACAGTTAACAAAAGTGCTTGTCTAGTTCTGATTTTCCGGGAAGTTCTAAAAGATAACCTTGATAATCAAAACAAAAACAAATGCATTGACTGGAAATACAAAATTTTAAAAAAGAAAAGAAAGAATCACATTAAAGTTGCGTAAAATTCTCAAATGAATTAAGTACAAAAGAGATATTTTTCAACAGAATAAACTTTCGAACATGAGTTGGACTGTTTTAAAAATCCCACTAAAACCACTTAAAGTCGATTTGCTCATAAATACTCAAAATACTTTAAAAAAAAAGCTCATAATTAATACTCCAAAACTCCCAAGCAATAAGCATGCCTTTAAAGTACATTTTCCACTTAGTCTTTATCAATTCGTACCATCCACAATTCATAAGTACTTTAACATTGCACGTTTGGCAAAGCTTAAAATTATAATTTGAGTTAATCAAACATACTTTTTTATCAATCGATTTCGTAGGACATATAACTATATTTATTATCCACATATTTTGTTACGTGTAGAAATCATTATGTTCCACTTGAATGCCACGTCAACCACAACAATGGATTCCGTTACGGGCCCATGTTTGAGATTCGATATTTATGCCTCGGTTTGTTGAGGCATGCCTAATCAAACAATCACCTCAATCATAAAGACTTACCTAAATAAAGGTATACCTTAACTTAGCAAGAAACATGATTAGGAGTCTCAGCTAGAGGCATAATTAGGGGATTCGGTTAGACTCGGACGTTGACATAAATCTTAAAGTTATTTCTAACAAATTAACTTTAATTTTAGTACACTAAGCTTTGATGTGCAAAAAAAGTACTCTCAGACAGGAATAACAAAAGCACAAACATCACTAAACTTTGAAAACGTGAATTTAATCATGATTTTCAATATAATAAAGAAGAACGTCAACCAAGGAAAATGACTAAAATGCCCTTATTAATTTTCTATAAAATTTCAATAGATCATTGCATTGTAGTTACTTGATTTTTGTGCATTGTAGTTACTTGATTTTTGCTCAATAAATTAAAAGTTTCAATCTTAACTTATATTCAATTTTCATTCTTCCCCACAACTATTACTAGCATGGGTCTCACTCGAAATTGATTTCTATATAGTAAATGAGAAATGTAAGTAGAGAATACAATCGATACTACCTAATCCAGAATGGTTTTAACTAAGATTTAAATAAAAAAATGTACCTCTTCGTCAACTTCCTCTTCATTAGAATTTGTCATCCCTAATAAAAGAATGATTTTTTTAAAGCAGGTAATCGGTTCGTCGACATAAATACCATACTCACACCGTTACAAACCGGTTCATTAAAATCAAATACCATATCCGTCTCATTGCACCATTGGTTTGATTTTTTTCCACTCCATTCGGTTCGCTTAACCGCAGTTTTCGATTTTAACGGTTCAAATTGTTATCCCTACGTTAACCCACATTGAATAACAATCGCACTACTTGGCCAGGGGAATAGAAACAGGGTAAATCCAAGCTAGTGTGGCATTTTAAAAAGGATATATATATATATATATATATATATATATATATATATATATATATACACACACACACACACACAAATTTTGGGCTACCGAATTGGTTACCACTCTCACATGCATGTAGGGTCCGCGTGCATTTAAAAATTCTGGTGTGTGGGACCCACCCTCCTATTGTGTGTATAGGTAAAAAAATTCGGCAAAAAAGTGCATATATATCTAGCATTGTCAACAAAAAAAGGCAGAAAATGGCTTTTGAAAATGTGTCAAATTCATTTCCATATTTTGCCAAAATTTCAAAACCAACCCCCACAGATGAAACCCTCCTTAGTTCAATCGAAGGGTCATCGCCACACACCTTACCATCTCCGACCATAGCCAGTCCTGGGCCGAGGCAATTGAGGCCTACGCCTCAGGCCCAAAACCAAAGGGGGCCTAATTTTGGTCCCCTTTATTTTATTTTTTTTTAAGGGTTTAGGGAGTTAAAGGAAATTTTGGTTTTTCATTCGTTTTCCCTCCTGCATGTGACAGTGCAACCGACGATCCATTTTAATTTCATCAAGACAATGTTACAAATTTTTTGGGACAGTTATGGAGTTTGGATGTCATTTTAATTTTGTATTGTTTCTATAAATTCATAATGCTCAAATTTTTGCATAAATAATCGAAAATATTATTGGATTTGCAAAATGGAAAATGGAGATTTGTTCAACACATCTTGATCCAAGAATGTGTGTCCTACTTGAACCTACAACGTTTGGTATCTATTTATTATTTAGCGTCCTTGACTGGCATAAGGCAGCAATAAGGAATTGTCTAATGATGAAATTTTTAATTCAGGCTTACGAATTGTGACGGTGGAATTTTCAAAGGTATGATTCCATAATTTTCGTTAAAATTCTACTTCTCAAATCAGCAGTGGCTTGCCCTAACTTGTTATTGAATACGTTGGAAATGTTTGAAGCCTTGTCGGCTTATATAATAGTGGTCTGGTCAGCTTATATGATTGGTTATTATATGATTAACAATTGCACGTGCATGTAGTAACTATATTGAAAATTCTAATTATGAGATTATTGAGATATTTCGTAATTTCTTTTAGGTTAATCATTGGGCATTAGGTTGCATAATATATCGTTGAAATAATATATTTGTTTGTTGTTTTAATGTTAAGTTTTAAGTTAGTAATAGGATGCAAGATATACAGTTGAATTTTGCATTTACTTTGATTTCGTGGGGAGGGGCCCAATTTATGGACTTCGCCTCGGGCCCTGACGATCGCAGGATTGGCCCTGTCTCCAGCCACCACCGAAACTTGCAAGCAGACCCCAAATGTTTGAATCGACTGTGGTACCCAACGAAACACAACGGTGGTCTGTAAAGGACATCATTTCCCCAAGTCATCACCGTGTTATCACTCTCGGCACCACGTTCATCTGTAAATCTATTTTCATTTCTTTGTTATACTCCGGTTGAGAGGGAGGCTGCCAATAGTGATGTAATTTTTCTTAGCAACCCATAGTGAGTAACCCATCTGTTTGTTTGGTGTTTGTTTTAATGATTTTATTCAAGGTTTTGTTGTTTCACAATTACTTCCAATTTGAATCTCTAGTATTTGATATTTGTTTGTTGTTGTTCGATGCCGTGTGTTTTAATTGTGCTATGGTTGCATTTGTAGTTTTCCTTGAGAAATGCCCATGCCCGTCATGTAAGTGTGGATTTGAAAAATGTTCTGTGGTGAAGAAGGAGACTGTCAATAAAGAAAAATTATGCGTTTGTTGCAGTAACAATTATGGATTTTGGGATTGAGTTGTCGAAGAAAAATCAAGTGCATCTAGTAGTGTTAGCGCTACATTTGTTTACCTTGTGACGAATGAAATAGTTGATGAAATGCCCCGTAGTCTTGAATCTCAAATTCGGCTTACCAATCAAGAAGATCTAGGATTTCGTTGGACAACTATCAGAAAGGACAAAGTAAGCACGGTATAGAATGCAAAAGAGAAGTGTTCGACTTGATTAGTAGATATTGTTGAAACTACCGTAGTTAATTTAAAAACTATGTTTGTGTATGGAACTTGAATTTTTCACCTTTTTGTTGTAATCTATATGGTTATATTTAATGCAATGATGAGTTCTCTATTATCTCTACTTAAGTAGCCATTTTGCTTTTTATTTTGTTGATTATCCGATTCTCCCAAATGTACATCATCATACATTTTTCCTTCCACTTGATACGTTCTCATTATCAAAATCTACCAAAACATCGTCATATGTTTTCCCTTCCATTGTGTTTACAGTTTCGTAACTTTCTCATTATCAGATTCCACTAAAACATCACATTGCTCGTCTTGCATGTTGTCCATAATTTCTTCTGCTGCGATAAAAACGTTGGTCACATTTAGCACAACATAAATACAGTAGTATGCTTTCAATTCGTATCATTTGATGGGAAAATGATTAATTTTAAATGTGAACATAGTAATAACTGAAGCCAGTTGTAAATATATGTGCATCATCGCATTCATGAAAAAGTTGAATTCTGCCGGTTCTTGTTTGCTAAAATTCATTAAACATATTTACAGATATGCAGCACGTTCACGAAAATTCATTTTGCCAATTGCAGTTTACAAAACAAAATTACACATAAGTATGTTAAGCCATAGGAGGGATGATACCTTCAAGGATACGACTCTATCCATTAATAATGATGATGATGTCGATTCTTGGGAGACATGTTAAATTTCAATACAAAAAGACAAAATCGACTAAATTTCATTGTCAAGAGAAAATTCATAAAATGGAAGTTTAAAGACCAGGGTATAAGCTTCCTATGCAACATTACAAAATAGAGCTAAAGTCTCATTTTGGACAGTAGTGAGGGTCACCTAACGTTACGCTTTATAACAAATGGCAATTTACTAAACAAAATAACACATAAGTATGTCAAGCGAACGTCAAGCCACAGGAGTGATGATACCTTTAGGGATTTGGGAAAGTGGAGCTTCGCTCTTCTTCGCTATGTGTAATGGCCTTTATAGTGTCTGGTTGGCGATGGCTTGAATGCTAGAATGAGGCGTAGATGAAGAATGAGGAGAGGATGGGCTCATGTGGATTGGCCGCAATTTGACGAGATCAGAGTGACCGTTGCTGGGCGTTAATGGTCAGGATTTAGAGATGTAATGAATTTCAATCAATTTGGGAGAGTAGTGTAAGAATTTCATTTGGGTAAGTCAACCAGGTCGTATTCATTTTTAAATTTTCCCTCCTTTTTTCACTGCCATGTCGATTGTTTTTAAAATCCTGTCAACCAAATGTTATCATCGAGCCTTTCCGTTTAGAATAGGGCTAAGGAGGTTTAGACAGTGAAAAGGGATTTGTTGATGAACAATATATTATTGAAATCCGCACTTATTTGATGTTGGCTATAACTAGAATCCCCAAAACCCCAAAAAATAATAATAATAATAAATAAATTCTAAAACTGCACTGCAAAACCCTAATTCTGAATTTCAGCCTAAATTGTTGATTTGAATTGCTTGGATGGCGATTCTCTCAGACTACGAAGAAGAAGAACAGACGCAGACGACATCAAACAAGCCGTTTACCGCAGCGTTCGATCCGTCAAACCCTTTAGGATTTCTGGAAAAGGCTTTTGAGTTCGTGGCGCGAGAGAGCGATTTATTCAAGAGTCATTTCTTGATCAAGGATGTGAGTGCTGTGGTTGGAATGGTGAAGGAGAAAGTGGAAGTCAAGGCGAAGAAGAGGAAAGAATTGAAGCTTGAACACATTGTAAGGGCTGAAAAGAAAATGAAGGAGGATCCACCATTGGCTAAAGAGGTGAAAAAACAGGAGTTGAAGCCGGAGGTCATGGAGGAGGAAAAGGGAAGTGATGCTAAAGGGGAAGAGAAAAATGAACCTCGAGGTATCCTTCAATTTTTATTATTTGCAATATTGTTATTTATTACTAGTGGATTTTGTAGAATTCGGTTCCGTACATATACTTTTTGAATATAGTGGCTCCGAGGAATCAATTTTTTGGCATGTCTTCGCAAATTTAGATCGGGCGAGATTCTTGTGATTTATTTCTTCTGAAAGGTTCCATTTCTTTGAATGCAGTTAGATTTTTCTGTACTGATTTTCCATCTCTTTATGGCTCGGTTCCGTTTAAGTTTGTCCACTGTATGCTTTGCCTATTCTGGGAGTTTAGCTGTGACGATTAATACCAGGAACTAGAGTTTCATTAGATGAGTAGTGCCTTGAAGAAGTGTTGCTTTCGAATAGGTTTCGTGTTCAATTTGCTTCTCTGCATAAGAACGGCTGTGGAAGTCTTGATTTGCAGTACTCATGTTCCTCTGTGTTTGAATTTCAGCAGGGAAGAAAAAAATGAGAACATAAATTTCGTTATATCTTTCTTCATATATCATGGTTTAGAATTCTATTTGCTTCTGTTCAATTGATTGGTATATTAGGAATCTATATATTTCTTTCAAGTGCCTTTTAAGGAAGAAGGATGAGGAGAAGACGTCAACAATCTCGAGTTGTGCATTGTTTTTCTTGATTGCTTGTGGAAAATAACGGATATGGCTTGTTGAGGACAAAATCCCACCAAACGTGCTGGTGCAGCAAATATGAAAAACGAGCTGAAAAATTAAAATCCCACCAATGATCACAAGAAAGGAAGAATCTATTCACTATTCAAAACAAAAATTACTAATTTCAAACGCTAGTTTAATATCTTGCTTTCTTCCTCTCTCTTGACTTTTTTCTCTCTACCCAGAAAATTTTGGCTGTACCAATTGTCTCTCTAACACAATATTTTCCTCCACTCCAAAATTCTTCAGTCCCCGATCCACTTTATCTATATATAATGCACGGCTTTGCCCTAAATCTTCATTGGCCTGCATTAATTACACTTTACTTCCCATGCAAATTGCCTTTCGTAAAACATTCCACATTGCTGCAATTCCTTGTGTGCATGGCTGCCAAATACTTCTTTCAGTTAATTAACATAATCAACTTAAATAAAAGAACTAAAAATTTAATTTGAGTTAAATACCTAAGTGTGGGCATAGGAACAAGTGCCTGGGAATTTGCTGTGTTGTGCTTTTGGAGAATCTTTGTAGTATTTGTGGAAGCTGTTTCATTGATAGATGTAAACTTCTTGGAGAAAGGGAGAACAGACTATGAGACAATTTTTCTTTCCCCCCGGAGTTGAATTATGAGCTGAAATTGTAACCAAAAAACTTCTTGGAGAAAGGGTAAACAGACTGAGACAATTCTTCATTTTCCCCCCTGGAGTTGAATTATGAGCTGAAATGGTATCTAGAATCCTTACCGCTTTCTACTTTTCTGATTTATACGAAGTCATAACTATTGAGGAAAAGAAAACTTGTCATTTTTTCAATCTTCTAAATGTTTACTTTTTAGATTCGTATTCCCATCTGCATGGATTGCATTTATGTTACTTAACTGCCATGCATTACTGATCTACTGTATTTCAGTTCAATCAACAGTCACACTGAAAATTACAAGGTAGCGTTACTCTGATTTTGCTTATGCTCATGAAATGTTATGTACATCGTTGATAATCTGTACGTGTGACAAGTGACTGCCAACTATCCATTCTTCTACCCGTTTAGGGAAGACCACGCAGTGTTGATTACTAACTGCTGTTTTGTATATGAGCAGCTCCTAGCAAAGGCAATGGACTTGATATGGACAAGTACTCTTGGGGTCAATCTTTGCAAGAGGTCAATGTTGTTGTTCCTGTACCTCCTGGAACAAAGTCAAGGTTCATTGTGTGTGAATTTAAGAAGAATTATCTTAAAGTTGGGCTTAAAGGTTATCCTCCAGTTATTGACGTAAGTATATTGTGCTGTTCTATTTATCTTCTCATACTGTTATCATATCTTAAAAAGTCAAATACTTGTGTGTTTTCAGGGTGAACTCTTCCTTCCTATCAAGGTCGATGATAGCTTCTGGAGCTTAGGTAGGTCTAATTGCATATTCTGCAATTGTTTTACACACACACACACACACGTCTGTTTATGGATCAAACATGTACTTGGAATGTTATTTGAAAGGAAATGGATGTTAACTGTGGTCCAACTTCTTGTAGAGGATCAGAAATCGGTCTCTATCCTCCTTACCAAGCAGAACGAGATGGAATGGTGGAAGTACCTGGTGAAGGGTGAGCCGGAGATTAATATGCAGAAAGTAGAACCTGAAACCAGCAAACTTTCAGATTTGGATGCCGAAACACGTTCAACTGTGGAAAAGATGATGGTAATCTCTGATGTACCATAACAGCATTTGCACATATGTTTTTACATTTTTTATTATATTCATATATTTCGAATATTGTTGCTGGGTGACGGTTATATTAGGAAAGTAATGAAATGGTGACCCAGTTTTTGCGCAACTCTTTTAAGTAGTTCAATTGCTATTTGCAGTTTGACCAACGACAAAAATCCATGGGCCTTCCAACGAGTGATGAAATGCAGAAGCAAGAGATGCTAAAGAAGTTTATGGCTGAGGTGAACACTAAATAACTCACCTCGCACTTCTTATCTCATTCTTTTGGCATCTCTATGTTTTTCAAGTCTCAGTGATTTACTAATTTGACTTTGTGTTTTTTTCCAGCATCCAGAGATGGACTTTTCAGGGGCAAAAGTTAGCTAAATGACCTGGAGAGAGCTTTCTGTGCAGATTATGTTCCTTCTTAATATGATACATCCGTCGATGTGAGCTATTGGTTATCTTTTTGGGCTTCTCAACTGAATTTAAAGCGGATTTATTTTTCTGAATGAGAGGCTTCTTGATAATAACTTTTGCCTACATGAACCATCGATGGTGTTGATGTTAGTGATATCATTATACTGTTACTCGTAAATTCTTGGGCATTGTTTTCAAAGTGAACTTTACCATTGATAGAAGTGTTGCGTGTTGTCACACCTGTCCTACCCACCTGAGTCAATGGCCCACTCATCCTGATTCACATGGCGTTCCTGCCGAGGTGGCACACATTGCCGAGGTGGGTTATATCCGAAGTGCTTCAAGCCGAGGTCCATCCGTCAAGGCTCCTCGATCTGATGTATGCGAGTCTGTCGAAGTCCAACTATCAAGGCCCATCCTCAGGTGGAAGTATTTGTCAAATGGTCGAAGTCCCGAAGCTGATGCACGAGCCTCTTAACCACAAGGAGCTTCCTCCACAGTCACTTCTCCCAAGAGATCGCTTGCTCAGAGATCTTATTCGAATGATTGATGGAACGTTTGTCACAAGTATAAAGGTCAAGTCTTGTCGCTAGTATGGAGGACCTGCGCAAGCAATAAATGCGCCGTAAGCTAGCAAGTCAAGTCCCATACCTAGGAAAAGACGTTTGAACTAAAGAGATGAGTCCACATACCACTTCATCCAAGGGCTCCCATGTCATATGTATCACTATAAATACTTTCATTGTGTAATGTCAGGGGCTAATGCAAGAATCAATACTAAAGACTACATTTACTCAACTCTCTCTCAGTTACTTGCGATATACAAATCGAGTTTATACACTTTTACATATACATTTACGAGCACCAGTTGGTAATTATTATACAATCGGATTACGAACAACTCGTCGGATTTTGAACGTCACCGTCTCGCGTCGTTGGGCTACTCTCACACCCCTTTGAACTGCTCGTTTTAGACCGTCCACGTGTCTTAGCGTATTGGACATTCGCCCACGCAAGGGCGGGTGGGATCAGCATCTGTTGGCGCACTTTTTGGGGTCAACAAGAAGTATTAAAAGTGAGACACAGAATAATTTAGCTTCCTTCTGCGTCTGGATTTAAAGAGCAGTAGTTTTACTTTTCATTTATCGGTAACTGTATATGCTTAAAAGTTACTTTTGTAGACCTTCTAAAAGAATATGCTTTATTACCAAGAAAAAAAGGGTGTTGACACACTAAAAGTGCAGCCCAAATCAAATAGTTCAAAGAGTGAAGTCCAATGGGGGAATTCAAGATAAAGGTCCAAACATGATTATTAATGAATGCGATGGAAGTCCATGAACACAGTAATATCATCTCCCAAGCTTGCAAGACGCCCAGAATCTGAGCGAATGGAGTACCTTATGGTCGTCCAGAGCGATGACCCCGTTCTCGCCCAAACTTTCGAATCGCCCAGGATCTTAGCAAGTATAAAACATTATGGTTATCCAGAATAACAGTTATTGAAACAGTTATTAAGTGATCTTATCACATTCCACGATTCAAAGGGCCCAGTTGAATGCGGATGAACGACAAAAAGTAATGACAACAGTTAGAGACGACAGTTCCACGACAAGCTAGCCACCATAATGAAAGTGGGTAGTTATACAGCAATCAAACAGTTTCCAAGCGGTTTGTCACGAAGAAATCATCAAGGGAATATAAAAGGAAGAGAAGACAGAGAAAAAGGGACGAACCAAACACTCTCAAATAGAGAATATGTAATTTCGATTTTTTAGTTTAAACTTAAACACTTCTTTTAGTACTCGTGTGCATGCGCCCCTTGGAGTTATTCTGTTTATTTCCAATTGTAAATCATCGCCAATAAATACCTCTTTTTGGGACTTTGTCTCAAGAGGTTTGTTCTTTACACAATCGTCTGATCCCTTTTTAATTGTTAGCGACTACCCGTGCGAAACAAAGGGTAAGATGAAAATATGTATACAAAAATAAGTAACTTATATTAGACACTGGTTGAATGAAGATTAGCATTGTGGGTGCTAGGACAATGCCACACTATGATGTATCGCTCTCTATAAAAAGTCTCATGGACCCCAATAATCTTATCTCTATTGTACACTTCCAGTTTGAAAGTGATTCTGTTCTCTTTTGGTGCATTTATTCAAACACCAGCAAACAAGGGAAATTATTTGTTAATCTGCAATAAAAGAGGCTCTGAAAATGATATTTTTTCTTTGAAAAATACTGCTGCCTTGCAACTACGTTTGATATAATATTCTTCCCCATGCAAGTACACTTGCGATATTTTTGTTACTTGCCTAATGTAGTATAATATCTTGCAGAAAATAAAATTCATGTTGTAGTATAATATCTTGAAGAAAATAAAATTCATGATCATTATTTAATTATTTTATCGATAATTTGATCAAAATATAGCTGCCTGATTTTTATGTCAGCTACGTAAATTTTTTTGGGCGATACGTGACGTTATTGAAAATCTTATAGCCCTCGTAAAAATTAGAAAATTGAAGCAATTTTTACACTTGAAATTTAGAGCTTGTATTGTAGTGTTTAGAAAGGTTTAAATTATAAGTAAAAAAAATATGAGTAGTGATAAGTAGATAATACTTATGGATGTCTCAATACGTGTGGATAAAAAGTGACTTGAATATTTTTAAATTTGAGCCAAGCATACATTAAGAAGTGTAATTCATATTAAGATGTAGAATGAGTCTAGTTTCTTAACGTTATGGGTGAATAGAGTTCAATTTAAGTAGTTTTTGAATTATTTTCAAACCAAACTATTTTAAAAAGTTTGAAAAAAATGCAAATAAAATCATTTTCATTTTTCAAACCAAATTAAATTGAATCATTTTCGCAATTTGATTTGGTTTCAAATGACGATTTTAGCTACAAAAAAGTAACATCTTTTAAATAAATGAAAAAAAAATGAATAAGTTGGTTTGAAATTTCACTATAAGACTTAAACTAAAACTTTTTAAACATAAATAGTATTATACTAATATATTTGTGTAAATTCAAGTTTAAATCAGTAAATTAATACAAACTCAACAATAAAATTTAAGTTTGCATTTTCAGTCTCATAAATAAATCATTCTTTTCTATAAGAGACAATAGAAATCAACTACTGAGTAAATTTGTTGAAGTATAAATTCATCTACTAAATAATATATTTTCTAAAATAAGTAATTTATTTTAATAAAAAATTGGGTGAACTTCGGTTTCATTGCAAGCCGTTTAAACTACCAAAACTTAAATTGGACTATTTCTAAAAGGTTTGGTTCGATTTTAAACCGGTCAGAGCTTAAACCATATGAATACAAATCAACATTTTCGAAATTGCAATTTCGATTCAATTCGATGGGTTGGTCTTTGTCCATTCTTAAAAAATTTATAAGCATGTTAATCACTCTTTCCATGTTATCCATTATTTCACTTAGTGATCAATTGCATTTATATACAAATATAAAAATTAATCATAAACACACATTTAATGGACATGTTACAATTTGCTTCTCTCTTGAAAATTTCAGAACTATGAATAGCTGACACGTTATCTTGGGCATGGTCCTTGAATTTATTGTCACTTGCAAAGGGAGGGGAAATGTCACAATGCAGTTCTTGTATTTTCTATATATTTTGTCCCTAAAATGTGTAAAGATCACATCACCAGGTGGGGTCAATGTTTTATCCTATTAAAATGCATTTCAATTTCAATAAAATCATGAATTTTACTATCATATCGAGGCGCAAAATATTGGTGGTAATACATAGTATTACTCATCGCTACGAAGTTCAAAATCTTTTAAATTTAAAGTCACTTATCACTTGTTTACTTCAAAAGAAACTCAAGACTCGATTTTTTCAATACGAGTTTTGTTAATAAAAGATTAACTTTGAAAATCACGTCAATAAAAATAAGTAACTTAAGAATAAATTTGATGTATTTTTAAGCACAACTGAACATACCTTGTGATTGTATACAAACTTTAATTGTGCTTCAAAATAATGTAGTGCGTTCACGTAAACATAAACAGTAAAAAACGATGCTCATGAGCAAACTTTTCTCGAGGTTGATCTTAAAATGTTGATATTGAGAGTAAGCGAATATTGTAAAAGTGTAAACTAGTTACACTTGGTTACCAAGGATCGACTTTGAAGAGGCTCGTGTCTGGTTTATCTTGGCTCAATGTGACTCGTTTTTAGGCATTCAAGGCCTACTCGAACCAACCCAAAATACAATTGATGTCAAGTAAGGGAATGCCTGTGTTGGATTACGCCATATTAATTTATTCAAAAGTAGACTGATTGATATATTTTGTCAGTATTATACTGAGCTAACGGTGTAAAGATCATCAACCATTATCTATGTATCAAACCAGCAAGTATTGACGTGTGAATATTACATGTATTGCCTTCTTTGGGCTGTTTTGATGGCTATGGAACATAAACTCTCAATCACTAATTGGAAATCCAACGAAAATCGACGTTGACATTGTCTCCAATTTCAAATCCAAATTCTCTGAACTAGATTTTTTTTTTTTTTCGCATGCTAATTAATTGAAGCATCGACAAATAATTTATAAATATGTCTAATGTTATTATTAGCATTGTGTATTTTTCTCCGGCCGGCTCCAATTAAAATAAAATTTGATTTATATAAAAATTTGATTAGTATTTAGTTCCGTCCGATCAAGTCCCAGTCGAACCATAACGACATGCCTTGTTATGTTTACATTCCAGTGGACGGTTTATGTGATTTCATATGTCATTTTCAGATTCGCCATTCTGAAATAGGTAGGTGTCACTATTTCTCATGATTAATCCTTTTCTGTTTAGGTTCGAAAAATGCAGCCATGTATAGGCAAATATTAAGGTCGCACGAACGAAAACAAATCTCATGCCATTTTCTATTCTTCTAGTGAAACAATGAGTACACTACGAGACACAACACTCCAGCTGTTTTTTCTTTTGCATTTCACTATTTTTAGAATAGAAATTCATATCGATATCTATACTTTCTCGATTTTGCTCTAACTTGCAAAACTCAAAAAGTTTGAAACATTATTTCATCTTATGATTCAATTGTTAATATGGATTCTGTTGATTCCGAATCTGGATGTGACCCAACGCTTCAACAGACACCCACCCCTCTTTCCTTCAAGTGTATATTACCTATACATTTGGACACACGTTTGAGGTACAGATCGAGGCTG